CCCTCCCCCACCCCCCGCGACAAAGGTTGTGAGGGGGTGGTTTTTACAGATTAGGGGTTTTTACTGGTGCTTATCATCGTGATTATTTACCCATCGTGAGTGCTGACCTCTAAGAGGTTAGTAATAATCTACTTTGTTAAAGCATACCTATATTATCTTTATGATATTTATTCCTTTACACTAGTTTATAACCAACCTTGCAGATCTACAATCCTTATAATGGGTCTCCAGGAAAATTTTCACTGATAAGGGTCACAAGGCAGGAAAAAAAAATGATTAGATGCAGGTATTTTTAAGGCCAGAACCTTTCACACTAAAACCTATGACAATGACTGCTGTTATAACGAGTCGTGGGAGCCAAAAGGTGGGTTGTAAGGCTACTAAGGCGTAGTATATATATAGATGTTGATGGAAGTTGGGTGAATGAGGCTAAAGGAATGATTATCGATCTGATCTTATCTTCGGCTGATCAATCAAGAATTTGACGAATGACAGCCATTAGCTTGATCAATACTATGGAGGACGGAGTAGCCTAGTATGCAGCTTAGCGACATCATCTCATGCTCACTCTGTAGTTAATCCTGGTCTACTGAACAGCTTCTCCCAACATTCAGCATTAAATAACTAATATTTTAGATTACTTGATAATTCTGGTATCTATTCCCTGCTTACGGGGTTAAGCGCAGTAAAACATGTTTCCCATAGCTAGGTGTTTGTCTGCTAAATCCACAGGATTTATTAAGCACAGCGCTGAGGAGCTGACCATCCATTAAGGATTAGTAGGTCATCATTGCTTCATTTCTGCGCTTAAGTATTGAATGTGCATGCAATATAAACAGCCCACTAATATCACTGTGTTATATAGCCTGGAACTCCAAAGGTCTCTATACTCCTACTAAGCCCTACACCCTCCTTAACTTTAAAGATGAATCCACCATCGCTAGGTGCAAGACCATGGCCAACCATGCTGCTAGTGGATTCAGCACTACCAGTCTTAACTATATCCCTGCGGACCCTTCAACAAACACACCTGCTTATGCAAGGTTTCATGGGAGCATTTCAACAAAGCTACCTAATAATTAGTGAGTAGAGAGGACTGGTACATTACATTATTCTCAACCACATAGCTTGCTATAATTAGAGAAACCGACAACCATTGAAAACTGATAGGATATGCCGCCTTTCGCAATAAGGACCGAGGCTTCTGGCTCTTCGGTCAACTATACTGGGATGTTAACCGGTACTTATATCTGGCCCTTTGAGTAAAGTCCAACAGTCGGCGATACACCGTGAATATCTAAACAGACTCAATTGTTGAGACGGATATCCACCAGCATAGATTATATACTCATTATCACCGCGTGCAAAATCAGACCTCCCATGATAACCTCCCCTCATATTCGTCAGAAGTGGCCGAGTCACCAGAGCTCGCAGAAAGCCTCTTCCTGCACAGAATTCCTCCTTTGCTCTCCAATGTCCCACCCGAATATACAATCATGTCCTCTTCCGCAACAACATCCGGCGGCACAGGCTGGGTGACCATTCTCCTACCATTCCACTCCTTTGTTCATGCGAATCACGTGCCTTGTGGTCGAGCCGCAAACATCTCTCCTCCGCCAGCGAGTGAAAAGTATCGGTATCGGTCTTACAGATCGGGTCGAGGGTCCGTACGACTTGCGAATCCATCGTATCTGGGCTACCAACGGGATCAGCGAAGCAGAGTTCGAGGATGAGAAGCGGATCTGTGGTGCAGATGCGCTGCCTATTGATGAGGGCGTCAGAACTGGCTGGACGGGCGACTCTCCTTCCGGCCATCCTGACGACAAGGGTAGTCAACCGGGCGAAGGAGGAAAGACGAAGGGTTTAAAAGGGTTGCGCTCGGAGTGGGAATAATGATCTACTGTATACCGAAATCTGATGTCTTTGTACTATACTAAGCGTACAATAACTTATTCTCTTGTGTACAATAACTTATTCTCTTGTGGACACTACCGATAACTGAAATAATAGAACCTTAAAGTTGATGTGATCGCAGATTCATCTGATCTGAAGCTGCAATTCGATAACGTTGTTTGTAGGTGTTTAGTGTAATCTACTTACCCTCGGTTATCCTCTCCCAAGCCTCCTTGTACTTCTCCGCGGTCTTTTGTACGACCTCCTCAGTCATCCGGACGCCCTCCTTGCCTTTCAGTCCCTCCTTGGCGAGCCAGTCCTGGAGGAATTGCTTGTCAAAGCTCTGCTGGCCGCGGCCAACTCCGTAGTCATCCTTGGGCCAGAAGCGAGACGAGTCGGGTGTCAGGACTTCGTCAGCCAAAACAACCTCATTGGTTTCCTCGTCAACACTGAACTCGAATTTTGTGTCCGCGATGATGACACCGCGCGACAGAGCGTAGGCGTGCGCGGCCTTGTATAGCTGTACAGCGAGGGAAGCAACGGTTGAGGCATACTCGCCAAGAATGGCAGCGGCTGTACATCGGGATATTGTTAGCTTTGGGCCAACTCTGCAGCTTGATAGATACTCCCGAAGTGAGGAGGGCCATGCGTACCTTGACCAGGGTGGATGTTCTTGTCATGCTCGCCTTGCTCAGCCTTGGTGCTGGGAGTGTAGATTGGGCCATCAGGGAATGCTTCGCTCTTTTTCAGACCAGGAGCGACCTTGATTCCGTGCACGGTACCTGACTTCTTGTACTCATTCCAAGCGGATCCTGTGATGTAACCCCGGATGATGGCTTCAATGGGAAGGATGCTGAGCTTGCGCACTTGTATGCTTCTGTTCTGAAGCACTGGCCGAAGTAAAGGGGGTATCTAGGGCGGGAGGTCGAGTGTAATGAAATGCGTGCGCAGAGAGGGGATAGCATTGGTCAGGATCTTGAACCAGGCTTTTGTGCATAATGTTAGAAGAACTCCCTTGTTAGGGATACCCTGAAGAGGTAACTGTTAGCAGATTCATTACAGAGTACCATTAGCACATACAACATGAAGTACTGTACATTCTCCATGATCACATCGTATGCGGAGATGCGATCAGTCGCAATGAAGAGAAGAGACTTGTCGTCGACTTCGTACAGATCACGGACTTTGCCCTAGGCAATCAGGGGCAGCGCACCCTGAAGGTCTGTGTTTGTAAGTGCCTCGGCCATGACTATATTGCACGAATGAAGAGTTGCAGTAGTGACAATCTCAAAATATGACTCAAGAGCAAGTCATGTCCCGATAAACAATAAGTTTTTTGGCGGGGTCTGCTATCAATCAATTTATGCCTCATGCGCTAGCTGGGTGCCTTGCAAAATCCCTTTACAAAGAAGCTGGATCTATGGAACCAGTAAAGCTCATTCCATAGAAGTTGACTTTGAATATAAAACTGATCAAATCTGTTTGTTCTATATTATCTGAACGCTGTGGTTCTTCAAGATAAAGCTCAATTGTTTGAACTCAGACGCGGTGTGTTTGTATACAACGGACGCGCTGATGGTTTCGTCGCGCAGCGAAGCTCCAGCATAGTCCGTCCATTATTGGACGAAACTCTTCTTCGGCAAAGGATGTTGGCGTTGCAAAAGAGGAACTAGATAAAGGAAGAAGAACAAGAACAGCAAGATGAGTTGCTATCTAACCCCCTTAAAGATTGCTCTTCTGTGTCTCATCTCCATTTATACTAATGGAGTCGTTCCCAACTCCTCCGCAATCCATGTTCTTTCCTTTCTCATGTCATGTCTCAGTCCTCTGGAATCAGATATATCTTCATCTCTAAGCATAGGTGATAGCAACTATACTGTCGCCATTGATGATCTGGAGGACGCCCTTTCATCCAAAGCTTCCTTGATCCCTGGCCGTTCGATATGGGATTTGTTTCTTAAGAAGATCTGGTCCATTGATTCTTATGACGCTTTGGAAGTATTTTTCACTGAGGTTAGCGCTATTCTTGTTAAGTCTCGAGAAGAACAGATCCGCGACAGGGATAATGGTCTGGCGCCTGAGACCAGTCATATGTGCCTCTCAAGACGCTCACCACTCAGTGCGTTCGTGAGAAGAGCCCAGCTTGAGTTTACTAGGCTTCAGTTCCATGACTCTGTCAAGCTTTGGAAGGGATTTGTGCATTACCGTCTCCCCATGTACTGTGTGGGGTCAAAGAAGAATCCATCTGCTAAAGGGACCCTGTGGACGTCAATTTACTAGAGCTCAATTTGGACTCAACTAGTCACCTTGCTCAAGTGGCTCATGGGAATATCGAAATTTAAGAGGAGGATGGAACCTACATCAGCACTAAGGATGTCGAACGACTGCTGGAGTTTTAGATTAGCAAGCTACAAAATAAACAGACGTTTCCCTTGACCGTGAGTATTCATGATGCACACTTGCTAACAGAGCGCAGGGCTAGGAGGAAGAGTCCCAGACGGCATGAAAGCGCAGCTCAAACGTATCATGGCGTCTGGCATTACACTACCCAACCTGACTTACTACCTAAGGTGAAAATGAGTTCGTGTGTAAACCTGCCCTCGCTAATAACCTGCAGATTCCTCGACGCATAGAGAGCCAGAGACTATCCCTCATCCTTCAACAATCTTCATAGATATTTTGATTATATAATGCATAGCCGTGACCAGAGCTCATATGAATATGTGCTGCTCAACCTCGCGATCCTTCAGGCTGATTTCGGATGCTATGGAGAAGCTGTTTCTGCGATGCAAGAGGCTGTCTCTGCCTGAGAGTCCCATGATATGAACTGTCTAAATTTCTGTATGAGCTGGCTGTACTACTTTGGCAAAGCCTTCCCTGAGTAGATGAAACATGTCCAGAATACAGGAATGCTTAGAAACAAGAAGGAAGGTCTTGCTTTCCTGAAGGCCAAAGCAAAGGAGACTAAGATGTGGAGTCTGCTGAGCACTATATTGCCAAGTGAAGCTAAACTCGAGCTGCAAAACATAAGCATTCCTGCGTCACCATTGTTCTTGACCACAGTCCTGACAGTACAAGGGGGAGAGTCTTACATCTACCATTGAAAACGTCGTTCGGGCATCCCATCTAAATGTTACAAAAAATTCGGTCATGGGCCCATAGCTTCTACTACAGAGTGCGCTCTAAGCCAGCATCAGTACCAGACCTACCCATGTGGATTTTTCCGGTCCAGGCTCTAACCTCTGCAGGTGTTACCCATCTATTGTGGTTGAGTAGCGAAATATTTCGCGAATGCTACGCAAACAAGTCACTATTTGAGGACTATCTGAAGAGTACGTTCCGTAGCTGTCAAGTGGTATGCCAATTGTTCTCTAACTTTCTGATATCTGCCTACTGACATTATCTCCAAAGTTGGCTCAACAGGGTCGATATGGTGATATCTCAGCTCATATAAAGCAGATTACACTAGAAAAGCTACGATCTCTCAGAGCAAACCAACAATGGACGTTCTTCTCTGGTATACTGCAACTAAGGCGGCATACCTATTGGTATGTTCTCTCCTTGCTCATTAAAGGTGTGGTTTCTAACAATGAACTAGGGGTGATAAAGTGGCAGCAGACTACATTCTCTCCCAGCTTCAAGCGATTCAGCTCCCTAATAATGACGCCTCTCTTCTCCTATCATTCCTTTTAATCAAACACAAAATCCGACAAGGCGACTATGGCCGGGCCTTGGAAATCATCGAGCAGACGGCTCAATCCATGCACCAAGATAACTTCAACATCCATTCTCAGGTGAAGCTGCTTTGCTTCAAAGCGCGCATCTTCGAGAAAACAGGCCATCCACAACGAGGCTTCTCTCTAGCGATGCGAGGCTCCAGTATCGCGCACCACTCAAGGCTTTTCCCGGGTCTCTGGGAGGCAATCTGCGTGCTTGGTACAGTCCTGCTGAGTCTATGAAAATTTGAAGCTGTGAACGAGACGATTGCGAGCGTCATGCCTCAGGTCCTCCAGGCGGACGACTGTGATCTAGCCGCGCGGGCGTACTTGCTTCTCGTGGACGCAAATATGGGCATGGCTGGTAAATTGTGGAGTCAAGGACAGGACACGCCCACCAAAAAGGAACACATAGACCGTGCCCTTGGCTACCTTGACTGCGCCTACGAGCAATACGAAGAAATCGAAGACATCAAGGGACAATGTGAGATGATGGCCAAGAAAGCCACGGTGATGCACCTCACAGGTGACTTGGTCCTTGCGAATGACTACGCGGCTAAGTACCTGGATCTGCAGAAATTGAGTAAGAAGGGGGTATAGCATACATTGCCAGTATGTAGTGTCACATTTGTGTTATAACGAACAGTTATGGGGAAATCGTGAGTAGACAACTCCTTTCCTAGACCGGACTGAATTGCTGCGCGGCAAGAGCATGCCCATGAGACGAGGGTTATAGATAGGCCGCCCCGGCAAAACTCTCCGAGGCCTTTACCTGTAGGAATGAAGGCTCATTCTACTCAACTTCTGAGAATAGGACGAGACTGAGGAACTTGTGTAACAAAAGGAAATCAATCAGCATTGTCTTGTAACACCCAGTTATTTTACTAAAAAAGCCCCCAGTGCAAACTCTCACAACAACTTCCGCCCTAATTTTGTGCAGTAAATATACATGCTTTTAGTTCCTCTTATTGTGAAGCCGAGATCGATCACTGGAAGCTGTTGTCCTTATTCACCATAAGGAATTTAGGTAGCCTTGTCCTTGTGGTGGTAGTTGACCTCATTGTTCCAGCTGCGTTAACAGTCAGCAAATGAACCATGGCCATGGAAGGAGAAAGAGTATAAATCCGAGTATAGAATGAAAAGGCGCTCCACAACGACTTTTTAATGCATTAGAGACTTACAAGATGGTCTGGAGAAAACCACTGGTTAGCAGATGATTCGATCAAGAGATCAGATTATATGACACTAACCTTGTCCCCATCGCCAAAGGGGAAGCTCTTGACACGGATGTTCTGGTAGGGGTACTCGATACGCTCCTCAAGAGGAGGCATGTGCTCCCAGTGCTCCCAGTGCTCGTTCAAGAGGTTGTAGGCGTTAAGACCGCCGAGGATCAGGCAGGGAATGACGGCACTAGGCATTGGTGAGTAAAGAGTCGATGGGCTCGCGGGAAAAGACGTTAATTGCGTCAGGCAACACATACTAGATGGAGAGCTTGCGCCAAAGGTCTGGCGGGCAATTAAGTTAGTATCATGCATATCATGTCCGTATCATCATCCACAAAATTCCGCGGGGCGAATTGGAGTATACGAACCGCTGGTGGTAGCAGCATGGTGCTTGACAGCAGCTCTCTCACGGTTGAACTCGTTGTCAACCATCCAAGGAAGCTTATTGTCAGTGCTGTTGAGGCGGCGCTGGAAGGCAGCACAAGCAGGAGCGCTACGCAGCCGCTGAGCAGCGCGGAGGATGTTGCGTTAAGGGAACATGGTGCTGGAGGGGCAGTCGAATGGCTGTTGCGTCTTTCTTCTGCTTTGACGGACAGTGGGATTATATGGACGTCAGGCATTCCGGCTTAACGAAGCAAAGCCGCGTTAGCGTCCCCGTGATTCATCTGCGGGCAGCGGCTGATGCCTTAGTCATCAACCAGGCCATCATCGCGTGATGTCACGGCGCCTTCGCATCACGTGATACTACGGGATCGTATAGCTGCAGCTACAGCTGTATGATGTATGGTGAATGTAAACGATGGGAAACATACCGTGGGGAAATGAGAGTGGCAATGGGCAATCGATACGGGGACATGTCATACGCATTAGGAGGCCGATCAAGGAGAAAGAAACCCACAGGAGAAGAACTCGACCAGGAAAAGAATTGGAGACCGAACATGGAGGTGGTTAGAACAGTGATACGATTTGCTATGGCAACAGGGCGATTGAACCATGAGAACTAAGAAAAGGCATGTCACATGCATAGATAGATGACTCAGCATAATCAGCGCGGAGGCTACATGCAGCCTTAGGCTGCGCACAGCCGGAGGAATAATTCATTCATTCATTCATTCATGATGTATGGTGTACCACGAATCAATTCTATTATCAGAGATGAAGTAAAACTGTCTGCTTTAGATATTCTCCGAGTCCTGGCTGACTGTGGTATGTACCCGTGGAACACACTTCACCACAACTGTAATGGGGTTTCACATAACAACATGGAATGGTAAGCTTAATCAATATCAGAAACCAGTCCCGCTGCTGGATATTAAGACTAAAGGTTGATCTGTCTAACAGTGGACGGGATACAGTATTCATTGTAGACAGTCTCTGTGTTAAATTTTGCGGTGCTCAGATCTTGTAGGAATCCATTCTCTTATGAACCATGGAGAGGCAACCAAACCTTCGAGGTAGATTCATCTAAGGTTCTTCTTTGTCTGAAAACAAGAAGCTCACTATAGAATAGTCAATGTTTGATATTCTTGAGGCAGATATTGTTGTTTTTCAGGAGACCAAGATTCAACAAAAAGACCTCCGTGATGACATGGTGCTAGTACTTGGCTGGGACTGCTACTTTAGTCTACTAAAAGCTAAGAAAGGTGTGCTCTCTAGAATTTCAGGCGTGTTGCTCAGTTCTAACAGCCTCTGGGATACTCGAGAGTTGTGATATACACTCGAAATGCAACATGCTGTCCCATCCGCGCAGAGGAAGGTCTTTCAGGGATTCTTTGTCCACCTAATTTGTTGGTGTCTTTTCGAGATCTGCCTGAGGACCAACAAATAGGAGGCTACCTAACTATTGAACAACTGTCAGAGCTGGAAATTGATGCCGCTACTCTGGACTCAGAAGGTTATTGCATTATTCTAGAGCTTCCTGCATTTGTTCGGCTTGGGATTTATTCACCAGCTAACCATGATGAATCATGAGACAACTTTCACCTTAACTTTATTGACTTGATGGATGCTCGCATCTGAAACCTAGTTGGGATGGGGAAAAGAGTCTTTGTCACAGGGGACCTTAATATTGCGAAAGGGGAAATTAATGTAGCTTATGCTACTAAGGCCATTAAGAAGGGAATAATAACAGAGGACAAGTTTATATCTTCCCCGGCACGGCGCGTGTTCAATCAGCTGCTTTCTGATGGCAGAGTTCTTGGCCAGCGCGATGAAGGAGGGAAAGTCCTGTTTTATTTGATATTTGTAGGTTGTTTCACCCCAGT